AAATTTTTTGAGAACAGCAAAATAATAATATTGTTCTCATAAGTTTATAATGGTTAGCTACATGATGTCACGCCAAAATGCTGAAACTGATAAAAATGGCTATCTAATTCATTATGACTACTTATTGAAGGTACGCTTCATATTTAACATTATATTGGTTTTTTTTTTTAGCGGGCATAGGTGAGAACATAAATAATATTTTGGGATCACTTATAGCAATAATTATGTTCTCATGAGAACAGTGTTTGAGTCCGAAATTTCAAACACTGGCCATAATTTCTCTCCCCAAGTTCTGATTGGATGATGATATACCATCTCCAATTGGATAAATAAATCATGATACCTCTTAATATCACCATGAAATTGAGAAGAAAAAAATGCGGATCAAATATATTTATATTTATTTTTATTTTTTGATAATTCAGAGATTCATGCAAGATTTTAAAAATTTCAAAACTGTTTTAAGTTGCTCGACAATTTTTATATTTTCTTTAGAATGAAAAAAAATCAATTTAAATACAAAAAAATTAATTTAAAGTAAAAGAAGTTAATTTAGATACGAAAAAATTAATTAGTATAAAAAAATTAAAGCAAAAAAAAAAAAAATTGAATATGAAAAAGAATAAAGCAAATACGAAAAAAATTAAATGCAAAAAAAAAAAAAATTTAAATATGAAAGGAATTATGTACAAAAAAAAAATAAAAAAATAAAGTAAATACGAAAAAAATTAGATGCGAAAAAAAAATAAATACGAAAAAAATTAGATGCAACAAAAAAATTTAAATTTGTAAAGAATTAGTACAAAAAAAATCAAATATGAAGAAAAAAATCAAATATGAAAAGAAAAATATGAAAAAAATACGAAAAAAAATTAGATTAAGGCCACTCAAAGTCAATTAGTTGATTAACGTCAACATTTTGGGTTCAGGCGCGAGAGGTGGAGGAAGATTTAAACAAACACATATATCAGATATGCCCAAGAATATTTGATTAAATTTCATTGGTCAACTTTGATCACATGGTTAATAAAGTCTATGCTGTGTTGTGATTGGCTTGTTTAATTTCGGGGATGACGTTAACCAACTAATCAACTTTGAACGGCCTAAATACAAAAAAAAAAGCCAAATACGAAAAATGATTAAATACAAAAAGAAACAAATTAAATACGAAAAAAAAATTAAATACGGAAAAAAAAATTAATTTAAATACTTACATATAATGAGTGGGGAGAAATTAGTAAATCCGCCGCTCAGTAGTACTGGTAGTTATATTTTTGCTTGACTGATATATCGTATATCGATATCGGCATAAATAAACGTCGATTTGTTGTTGATTTGATTAATAAAAAAAGTAATCGGTTAATGGGTGGAGTAATCGATTAGACGCAAGTTCATTATATAATTTTAAATTTAGGGTACTTTCTAGTGACGTACACATAAATTGACTGTCTAGCAAAAAATTATAATTTAGGGATCATTTATCAGATTTTATCGGTTTTTGTGACCAAAAAAAAGGTCCAATAAAATAATTAAACATTGATGCGTTTTAAAAAAAAAATTAGTTTTTAAAGTCTGCTCATTTTAAAATGGATCTTGACTTTGATGAGTTCATTGACATTAATCTAAATTGGATCAATAAATCTCTAGATATCACGGTTTGATCAACTTATTTTAATTGCCATTTTGTACAGATTTAAATATTATATTGTACGAATTTAAATGTCACTTTGTACGAAATTGAATGTCACTTTGTACGAAAGTGAATGTTATTTTGTACGAAATTTAATGTCCTTTTGTACGAAATTGATGTCAAAAAGGAGTACTGTATACGATATACTAATCATCAATGGCTACAGTTCCAATATTTATCGTTATATTTTATACATTGTAAAAACGTAAAAGACCTTCGATGTTAAATAATCTTATCAGTTAAATATTGTTTATAGTATAAATGATGTTTTCTATTATGTTTTCTATTATATTTTCACCAACTTTAAAAAAGTTAGTACTGTATACCAATGATTACAAATATGTTATGCAATAATCGTTATGTCATCTTATTTATCTTAATTTTTATATTCATTGTTAAAGTTTTTTTCTAATTAAGCTCTACGTGTCCACAAGTCTTGATTCCAGCGATTAATACCAATTTTTGACTGATGATTCTTCATTTTTATATCATATAAAAGGTTCGAGTCATGTGATTCAACTCTTGTGATGAACAACAGGTCTCCTGTTGTAAATAAAATGAAATCAATTTTAATCTTGTATGTAAGCCCTTTAAATAAGTCACCATTCCCAATACAAGCAACCTCTTTTTATGGTCTATTTTTTATTAACAAAATTTTTGCTTAAACATTGAAAGTAAATAGTGTAATCAATGTCAGTACAGAGGGACCTCTCTAAATGCACCCCCTCGGGACCATAGTAAAAAAATTCAAAAATGTGCACTTAGAGAGGGTGTACATTTATAGAGAGCAAAATATATAATGCTATTATAAGCTGGGACCAGGCTAAACTGTGCATTTAAAGGGATTTTACATAGAGGGTGCATTTATAGAGAGTGCATTTAGAGATTTCTCTCTGTAAGAAGTATATGTTATTCTAATATCGCAAAATGCTGTCACAACTGCAACAACAAGCTAGTAATAATAACCGCATCAACATGCTTGTAGTAAAATAAAATTCATTTTCAAGAGTGGCAAATGCAGTTTAAACGCGGAAATCGTGATCAATGAAGAAATTTGAATGGTAAAAGTTTTATTAGTAACTATTTAAAATCGTCCAAGAGAGATGGAAATTATTCAAGATTCGTATGTTTAATCTTTCACGCTTTTAATTATTCATATTTTTGCAGTACGTTAAAATGAAATTACTTAACTATATTATAGTAAAATATTTATTAATTTATAATTTATTTTGCATTAATTAATTTTAAATATACAGTATATAAAATAAATAATTCCTAATGTATGTCGGCTTATTTAATAGAGTTTTGCTCTTAAGCGCAGAAATGACGTTAAAAAATCTACAAACAAAACACTTATCACAATCAATAAAGAGCTTTTTTAAAATTTAGATCTGAAAAATAAAATAAATTAAACAGTTATGTTACATTATAGAGGAAAATTACTCTGGTGTTTTAGAATGATGAGAACGAGAGCTAGCATCTTGAATTACATTCTTGTTAAATCAGGCAACTCATGAATAAATAGAAATCTCGTACAGTTAACCTTCATATACAGTAGTTCTCCCCCTCTAATTGTATCAGAGCCATAAGAAAAAAAAACTTCTATATACACAACTAATTATAAGCACACTCTTTTTAAAAAATTATCGGTACTATGCAAAACTATCAAACTGTGAGATTATATAGTATTTACATTCCGAAAAAAATCAATAACATTTAATAAGTTAATAAAAAAGCAAAAATAAAAATATACACATACTTTATATAATTTAATTTAAAAATAAGTTTGTTATTTGCTCACAATTTCTATTACACTAATCTGCTTGCTAAAATATTCTGAAATTTTTTTCGTATCATATAGTTTGCTATCATATATGTCTTGTGAATGTATTTGTTTAATTAGCTCTAGTTTAACCTTATCAGCTTCCCAAATTTGTTTTTTTGATTTCATTATCATCTTCTTGATCCATTTCATATAACCAATAAGTGGTTATTTCAATGATTTCAGTTGCACTAGGTCGTTTATTATGATCTTTATCCATACATTTCATAGCTAATTTAATATAACAATCAGGTCCTAAACATTTAGGTCTTGATCCACTAATAATTTTTGATACAAGGTCACTATTGAACAGAACTCCATCAAATGCTCTTTGTCTAGTCGAAATTTCTGTCATAATAACTCCAAGGCTGTAAATATCTGACGCTTGTGTGTACGACTGACCCATCAAAATTTCAGGTGCTATACTGTATATGGCAAAACTCCACAAATTTTTCCATCCTTTTCTTTTCTAGAAAGTCCAAGATCTGTGATATATGCGCTATGCAAAGTACGAAATTGTAAAATGTTTCCACTATATAAGTCTCTGTGAACGAGTTCTTGTGAATGTATTGATTCGAGATCCAAAGCTATACACTGCAAGATACTCAATTTATCTTTCCATTCTAATTATGATACCTGCACAAGATTTTGTCGCAACGAACCTGTTGGTGCATAATTCAAAACAATAATATAATTGCCATAATTATTTCTTGATACACCATAGCATTCCAAGAATGAAGGATTCTTGTAACCAATTTCACAGTAATTTTTTAATTCTGGATAAATTCTTGTTCATTTTCATTTGAATTATGAATCACTTTAAGTGCAACATTTTTCCATTCGCTATTAATTCTATCGAGCCAACATGCATAATATACAGTTGCAAATCCTCCTTTTCCTTCTTCGTCGATATCTCTGAATTCATTATAATCAATCCAAGATAATTTAAATCTCTCAGCATCTAACATTCTCTTAAGTTCATAATTAACATGATCTGGTGATTTATTAGTTTTCAAATAATTTCTATATTTTGCAAACTAATAATTTGCACTTTGAATAACTTTTTTTGTACCGATACCATTTCGATAATATTGAGCAAGGTTAATCGCTGCTCCTATACTACCCATATTAACAGCTTTTTTATAGTATTCAAATGCTTTATTAAAATCTTGATTAACCCCTCTTCCATTTGCGTAACGATAACCGATATTACCGTACAGCACTGACTTAAGTATCCCCCCTATGTCTAATACCCCTTACCATTTATAGTAAAGATCCATTTAAAATACCCGGATATATCCGTTTATTTAATTCTATACTTAGTATATAATACTTACATTGTTATCAATCACCGTTACGCTACGATTTGAAAAAAATTCAAAGCTTTTACGAACAACATTTTGAAAATCTTTCCAATACTTAAAACTAACTATAAGAAAATTTTTCCAATACTTAAAACTAACTATAAGATAAAAAAAAAAAAAAAAACTATCGTAAATTTATGAAACTAATACCCAATCATTTTCAACCATAGGTTCTTCGCTATAGATATTATCAATATCTTCCGTTTCAACCCAAACAGTTTCTTCGTTAGTAAGATCTACTAGTTCAATATTACCTGCCAATTCAATATAATCTTCATTTTCCATTTCATATTGCTGATCTATATTAAAATCTTGATCACTAGAAATTCCACAACAGCTAAAGGAGTTTTTAATTAAATTAATATCAACACTATCCCATGCATTTTTTACCCACGTTGCCATCAAAGAGTAAGATGGTCATTTAATTCTTCCAGTAGGTGTAAATTCATGTATTTCATTAGCCATCCATTCAAGATACAGATTACGAAGTTTTGCTTTAAAAGAATGGTTTATCATAACATCTAATGGTTGAAGTTTACTTGTTAAACCACCAGGTATTATTGCGATATCGATCATATTTTCACTATAATTTTTTTTAGCCAGATCGGTAATATGACCTTTGAAAGAATCTAATACTAAGAGTGAACGCTCATGTCTATACATATTTTGAGCAAGCCATACATTGTTTGTCCACCAAATCATCTCTTGTTCGTTGCACCATCCTTTCTCATTTACACGAATATGAATACCTAGAGGAAATTGTTGACGGGGCATATTTTTTAACTTAAATATACAAGTTGCTGGTAATTTTGTACCATCTGCCAGACAACCTAAAATCACGGTAAAATTTGATTTTTCATGCCCAGTAGTTCTTATGCTAACAGTTTTAGCACCACATTCATCTAGAGTTACAGCATTCGGCATGTCAAAAGCAACAGGTGTCTTGTCCATATTACCGATTAATCTTAATGGGTAATTATTTTCATATTGTTTAAGTGCAATATAACTCAAGAATCGTTGTTGTTTTTCAATTAGATCCGTGGGAAGTTGTTGAGCAATATTAGTTCTGCGTCTGTTTGAAAGATCATAACGAAACATAAACGCATCAAGCCATTTACAAGAAAAACCAAACTGGTTTATATCAGAATACAAAATTTGGAATCTAGGTTGTTGAGCTAAACTTTTTGCTTTTTGGGTAACCATTATACGGGTTACTGCATTTCGTTGGTCTCGAGTTTCTTTTATCCAAGCTGCCAAATCTTCTTCAAGCTCAGGAAAATTGGCTTTTTTTCCAGGATGTAATTTCTCAATATGCGGAGCAGCCATCATTAGTTGATCTTTAGTTTTTCTCCAATCACGAACTTGTTTAGGTTGAATATTAAACTTTCTTGCTGTACCACGTACACTTTTAGATTGCTCAAGGTAATGAATGACCATAAGTTTTTCCTTTGCAGACCATTGACGACGAATATGATGTGTAAAACGTGAACGTCGTGCTGGTTGATTTGCGCGAACCATTTTTTATTTATAAAATGAATTATCAAAAAAGCAACCTTTTTAAATATTTTTATGAATACTTATAATTAAAGTACTTGTGAATATTAAAATTTATTCAATTATTATTAAAAAATCACTTTTATTAAAATATTTATTTATACACGCTGTTACAATTATAAAATAATAAAACAAAAGAACATTTAATGCAAATATGATCTAAAGTTGTCTTTAGCCTAACTCGTGCTTTGCACACTGTTTGCAAGAACAAAAAAACATTTATTATTATAATTAGGTGATTTAAAGAAGACAAAAATGCTCGAATATTTATTTTGTTGATTCGAAATATTTGTCTTGGCCTAAATTGTTGCTTTGCGCACTGTTACTTATAACAGAATAACAAAATAACGGAACAAAAAACATTTTATCTATAATTTGGTAGCTTAAAAAAATTAATTAAATATTGACTATTGATATTTGTTAATTACATACTGTTACTTATAGTGGAAT